AAGAAAGAAAGAAAGAAAGAAAGAAAGAAAGAAAGAAAGAAAGAAAGAAAGAAAGAAAGAAAGAAAGAAAGAAAGAAAGAAAGCAGCTGTGGTGTGATTGTCAACTATTTGTTCCATTTGTGTAACTAGCAGCAGGCTTTGGCCATGTGTGGATAAACTGCCTTACCTGCTGAGTATAATCCCTTTAGACAGTGTAATTGCATTTCCAGGTTCACATGTCTCACAAACTTTACAGCTCTGGGCAGTGCTATGTTATGTGATAGCAGAGGTTATGAAGGTTAAATTTGGACTAATGAAGTTCTGTTGAAATAAGCTTGAGTCATCTGGTGCTGACAAGAAATTTAATATAAAATGGCATTCTTGGGCAGGAGGAAAATCAAGGTTCTGCCAACCTGAAAGAGATTGCTATGAAACTATTTCTCTCCTGGCAGCACTTGACCAAGATAGCAGGAGTATGTGAGGAGTAAGGCACAGACACTGGCAGCTCCCAAACTCACAGGCTGCTCTGAAAACCAGTTGTGTGTCAAAGGCACTACACAAATATCAGGTGCAATTAGCCAGAGATGAGCAAGAGGGAGACCCATTTCTCTTCACCCCAACAATTTCACATAATGTCATTAGGCTTTGTCCACTCTATGGCATTTGACACACCTTGATATTTTCCTACTTGGAGTAAAATAAAAATTAATGATTACTTGCTTAAATAAACACACTTCATGTTAATAACCGAGTATCAGAGCATGGGGCAATGAGGTTTTAATATAAGTTGTCCCTGAAAAGTGATGTTAAAATTGATGAGAAATAAGAAAGTTGATGAATCACTAAAACTTGCTGAAGGCCACCCTCCTGCGAATTTCAGCCTCCACAGAAGTGGATCCTCCTATCCTGCCAACCAGGTGTTAAATGTTTTACATAAGCTATGTGTTTTGCCAGCAGAAATTCAGTTTTATCTAGCTGCAAATTGAACTATGGCAATTTCAATTAGGAGTCATCTATGTGGGAAAGAGAAGTCAAACAAAAATGCTGAAAGCTAAGGAAATTGATTTGGTTTTCGTTTGTGACAATCACTTTAAATTACCACTGTATTTGCATAACACTATATTTGTTTAATGATGAAATTATTTTTAAATTAATTTTCTATTTAATTTTTTTATTGCATAGTATATTCATATTGCATCATTGAAATTTAAATTTTTACCCATTCATAGTAATGCTTTCTACCTCTTCTCTAATAAATTTCTACTGTGAAATGTATTTTTTTTGTTCAGTACATAAGTTCATAAAGATAATTAAAAGTAGGAATTTATTTCAGAACTTTCTTTTCTAAGAATTCACTTTCTTAAGAAAGTGAATTAGTCAAGAGACCAGAAAAGGCGAGAACCACAGCTCTTGCTGTGTATGAGATGTGCAGAGATTTCCTCCCGTGTGTTTCCAATTGCCACATTACTGTCAGGGGCAGTGAAGTGACTAGCAAACAGACAGTTCTTTTATTAATTCAATATCACATCCCTGTGACACTGAGATTAAATTTTGCTGCCAGTGAGGAGCAATGTTATGGTTCCTGTGAATGATTCAGACTCAAAATACCCCTCCCTGCACGCTCTAACATGCACGTTTGCTTGTTTTATTAGTTGGCACCCACTTCTGTGATTTAAGAAATAAATTATTGGAATAATGAGTTATCCCTCAGAACAATGTAGGTGCCCTTTCTTGCTTTGGGATCACACTGTTGGATTTATTTCCCCAAATGTATGATTGTTAGAATCAGCAGGCAGCCTCTGCCACCATGGTTTCTCACAGAAAGGCATTTGGTTCTCCCATCTCACTGAAATCCATGTTGCCCAGCCTTTTACAAACATCCTAGGTTCTCCAGGGTCTATAATACTGCACACCAGAGGAAGACTCTGGTATTTGGAATTCTTTAAGCAGAAGTAAGATGAGAGAAAACTAAATTTGATTTCAGAATTAAATAGCATTATAAGAGCTAAAAAGATGACCAGGAAAACAGAAGTTATTTGCCCAGCATTATAGTTCCTTAGACTCTTCTGTTTTTATCTAAAATATCAAGCCTAAAGGATATTAAAGACCCTGCAGACTAGGCTGCTATGTTATCTTTGTACCCATCCCATGCTTCTCTTAGACAGTCACCACAGAGAAACACAAGCAGATAAGAACTGAGCTTTCATGAAAACCTAGTTGTTGATGATCTTTTTTTAGCTGAGGAAGTAGTTTGCAGTATTGTAAATTCAGAACAATTCTGGGGGTTTCATGTGGCATGAGCTGGTTCATCATTTTATTTAAGATGAAATTTAAGGCATGGTATTTTCCTTTGGAATGACTTTTAAGTATGAATTCTCTGATAAACAGTCAATGCTAAAATAGCTGCACAGAGTAAACCTACATTAATTCTATCACCACAATATCATCTATGTTTTGAATTTGCAGTTGTGTACAATTCACAAAACAAACGGGAAGCAGTCCCTTGGACATTTTGAATGGTTTACACTCATAAACTATCACAAGCAAATTAACCAGGTATGTTTTTTCTGCATGGGAATGTTTCTATCTTACATTACTTTCAAACATACTGCTATTTCTGCTGCATGAGGTGCATTTACTTACTGGCAGCTGAGTAAAGTTTCAGTGTCACACCAGGTCGGTAGGAAGGTGGCATGGACAGAACTGTGGAAGACAAATCTAATGGGAGGGAGAAGAATAGAACTTGCTTTGACACCTTAAAACAAAAAGGCAGATTTATTGAAGGAGCAACAGAAAAGAATAAAAAACTAACCCTGAACTCAGAGTTCATTAATAAACACTTACATAGACAGTGATGTATAAATACATTATCAGTCATCTATTTCTATATATAACTTTCTATTTCATTTAATGAGCCAACTGACACACTTTGTTGCTATCCCAGATCAGTCTTACCTGGCTCTGTTTGCATCACTTTGCTGGGTCCTTGTGGAGACACTGTCTGCATCCAAAACATGGACATGTCAGCTGTGGGAGCAGAGACATTTCCTGTAATTCATTATTTATCTGCCTACTGAGAAGAATTGCTAAGTATGAGACAGCTCAACAGGCAGAGTCCTCACCCCGTACTGCCAGTGACCTATAAAAATGCCAGGATGAAATATGAAGAACAAAAGCTGTGCTTGACTAGAACTTGAAAAGCCTGAGGACTAGGGAAGGGTAAGATTTCAAGAAGGCATGTTTAGGGGACACCAAAAGAAACATCTCTACATTGCTTTTCCACAGGTCTGCTCACCAAATTTGGAGCAAAATGTGAGGGAAGATCCAAGTGGCAGAAGTGTTTGTGGGAAGCAAGACCAAGTTTTTCCCCTAAAGATAAGAAACTACAGGATGGAACCTAGAGCTGATTTTGATATTCCTGCAATAAAGTAATCAAAAGAGTAGGTGTTCCTGAAGGGCCCTCCAAGCTCCACCCCAGGGACACTTGGCCAAACCCCAGAGCAGTGGGGCAAGGCAGGTTCCAGGGCTCCTGGCCATACTCACTGGGGCTGGGCTGCAGGGCTGCCGATGGGGCCAAGCTCCCCCCAGGGCTCAGGGGGGCTCTGGCCGTGCCTTGGGGCTTGGGAGCATCCACGTGGGCTGATGGAAACCACGATCCTTTGGCTCCAGCTGTCTTTGGCCACGGTGGGAATTTGGTGGTGGGGATTTCCCCCCCTTTCTGTGCGAGAGGGATCCTGGTAGCTGGAGAAGCAAGAGGGCAGAGAGAGGGCACCAGCACATTGGGAGTGCTGGTGCCCCATGGCAGCAGCAACTGCAACACACCAGGGGACAATAATATCTAAAATACACCCAGAAAATCCCAACTGCCCCTTGAGGGTTTCTCTGGCACTTGAGCCCCCACTTCTCCATTTAGTTTAAAATATGGAAACACAGGGAGCTCCAATAATGTTTGAAATTTTAACTGAGAACATTTTAATGTGTGAGTTTTCTTAAATAAAACAAAAAAAAAAAAAAAAAA